ATATAACCCCATATAACCCTATATAGCCCCATATAACCCTATATAACCCTATACACCCTATATAACCCCATATAACCCTATATAACCCCATATTCCCACCCAGAGCTGCTCAACATGTCATCAACCGTGGCGGGCCACTTGCGCTGGAGGCCGCCGGGGCTTCTCGTCGGAAGCAGATTTGGAAGCCGGGTGGCCTCTTACTTTACACACGAGTTGCGGCATGATTTCTTACGGGGGCTGTAACGGTCTGGGTATATGCAACAAGCAGAAATGAGGTGCTTTCTGATCTTGACCTGTCCCCTGGTGCTGCTGGGTTTCAAAGAGGGTTGAGAGGTGTATGAAGGCAGGTGAGATTTAGCATCCATGCTGTAGATCCTCGTGTTCATTGGGGAGTTGGTTGCTCGAGATCCTAAACCCTAGACCCTAAGCCCTGAAAGCTCGACCGGAAGTCCTAAATGCTAGACACTAAATCCAGAAGCCCTGCTACAAAGCCCTCAAATCCTAAACCCTCAACCCTGTATAAGGCCCTAAAAACCTGAAACCCTTTTTGAACCCTAAAGCCTACAGAGCAGTCCTACCTCGTCAGCCGCTTGGGATAGCCTGCCTGGGCCGCTGTGTCTCACCACGAAGTCCCATGGAGGAACTAGGATTTTGGGGTATAGGGTATAGGGATGTTTAGGGTATAGGGTTTGGGGTATAGAAGATGGTGCACGATTTCCTTACAGTAGGGTGCATGGTTTAAAGTTTCGGGCATAAGGGAAGTTCGCAGAATGATCGATATCGCCAAAAATTTGGGCTCCTGCTAGGAACCTTCCTGCAAGGCTATCCAGCATGTCCCGACAAATCTTCTTGGAGCACCTGGTTGCCTGCCTATCTGCCCGACATACATACACAGGTACGCGCACATGTCACAGGGGGATGTGTCTTTGTTTAGGGAGGTCTTTAAATTGGAGCCCACAGATGCCAAGATCCAAGTACCAAACTGGCCCTGACCCTTGCTTGAGGCAGGTGCCTGCCCATGTCGGAGTATCAGCTTCGCTTTCTGCCGGCGACCGTGGCCTTTGCCATAGATAATAATTACAGGCCAGGCAAGTACAGCAGTAGTCGCGCTTCAAGATTCGATGGCCAGGTTTCTTTCCGATGGAGTGCTGTCACGGGAACTTTAGGCACCGAAACGATGTGACCCAAGCACAACTTAATGCCGTCAAGCGGTGTGACATGCTCGTCAACACTCTGAGGTTGAAGAGCTGCTTCCAATTAGTACGTGTGCGCAAAATCGGAGCGGTCATGCCAGCTTTTCTGTACAACCAACCCGCTCTTGTGGCTGAGACGCATGGCGCATGGCAGGTTCGTTCAAAGTTCGAATTATTCACACAGCCGTCCACCAGATCTCTGCATTCCGGGGCCAGCTATTGGCGCTTTTTCTTGTTGTCTGCCGTATTTGCGTTGGATGGGCCAGCCCTCCCGCGACAGCAACAGCACCAGCACGGCTTCTGCAAGCGAACTCTGAGACAGCAGCAACAGCCGCAGTACGTTGCAAAGAAAGCAAGCGTCATAATCAGCGGCACAATCCGAATCAAAAGGTTCGGGCACGGCGGGATGTGCAAGCGGAATTTCCCCGTCGCCTGGTTGACGATGACCTGCACTGCCCTAGACATGTCCCGGCGCTGTTCGTTCAGCTCTCGGATCTCCCGAGAGCGGCGACGATAGGGCTCAGTTGAAATCTTGCGGATGGCTGCTACCAAGTCATCTGGAGTAGCCGCGGTCTTGTCTAGCATGACTGCAACACCCAAATCTCTGTGCACCACAGCAACCATCATCTGATCTGCAAAGAAGGGCATAATTGCCAAGGGCTTACCAAAAGCAAGGGCTTCGTTCACGCTGTTCATGCCTCCATGCGAGACGAACCCAAATACAGCAGGATGAGCCAGCACTGCGCGTTGTGGCGCAAACTTGGTTACCAACACATTCTCTGGGATGAGGACATCAGGCTTGACCTTGGAAGCCCAAAGAACCGTGAAGCCCCCCTTCTTGAATGTCTCCACCAACAGCGAAGCATGTGCCTTGGACACCCGGACCTCAGGGGATCAAAATTTCAAGCTGCCATCCTCCTCTCGACACGGTTGACCTATCCTACATAATCCCAGTTTCCATTTCAGTTTTCGATTATCTTTTCGATTTGGTTATCCAGTATTGAGGATAATATTTCCTATATAACCCGAATATATCCCTATTCCTATATAACCCCAATATATCCCTATAGGGATAACATTCGGCCCCTCCAACCTCAGAGCCAAAGGCTACGTAGAGAACATCTTTGGAGGCCTTCTGCTGTTCATCAAGCCACGCCATGATCTTCTCCTGCTGGCAGCAACTCTATGAGACCCAAAGGCTCCATGTAGCTATATGGTATATACTTAAGGACCAAAATGGTTCCCATATGACTACTTTAGGGCCCAAGTATATACCATATAACTACATGGAGCCTTTGGGAGAGGGAACAGGAGCTGTTGCAAGACCTCGCAACTCTCCACACCAGCTCCCGGAAATCTTGTTGGAACCCTTCAGTGCACACCCGAAACTCCTGCAAGACGACCATGAACTTTGGCAGGGAGACAGCTGAAATGGTCGAATGAGATTAAAGATACGTGCCCATGTCTCAGGCAAGCCATACACTCAATGATCTGCAGAGTACGCAGCTACACCTCGAACGCCCCAAAACTGTGTCCTGGTCGTCACTCTTCATCATGCCGCTTCCTTCCAGCGCAGGGTGGTCCAAAATCCCCACCGTGAACCTCAAAGGCGGCCGTCACTCGCAGATGAACAAACAGAAGGAGCTGTGGTGAAGCAAAAGCACGTCACCGGTCACAGACGCTGCGGCAGATGCCTTCTGCCTTCACACCTATCGTCAATCCAAAGGGTCCATGGGAATAGTAATAATAATGGTTATATGGGGGATAATGGAAAAGAAAATGGAAACTATAGGGATTATATAGGGGTTATATAGGCCATCAAACAATTCAGAGCTTGGCCATCCGCATGCTTCAGGCGAGGGGCGTGTATGGGCTCCAGGCCGTGGGCATCCCAGCTGTAAACTCCTAAGTTGCGGCTTCAGGAGTGCTTTGCAGTGTGCTTCTATGCACGGTTCTGGCTTCAGGAGGTTCAGATAACCTGAACCTTTGGTAAAACTAGTGTCGCGCTGCAATCCTTAATCGAAAGGGCTACTGCGGCTACTACCTGGACCCCGAAAGTATGTAAAATAGTGGCCCTAAACCCCTAATAACAGCCATAAATTAAGGCCATAATTTTACATACTTTTAGGGTTAAGGTAGTCCCAACCAACTACAGACACGACTGCTCCGTGACAGCCACAGCATCTGGAAGGGTGGTAATGACGGCGGGATGCTGCAGGATCGCATCAAACTCCCACACCTCAGGGAGATCAACATCCCCTCAGCCTCAGCCCAAACTCTTGCCATATGAGCTGTAGTCTAAACTCCTAGTATCCCCCTTAATAAACCCTACAGTAGTCCCCCATCTAATGCCCCCATACAATCCCCTTCAAGGAGTTTAGACTATAGCTCCTACATCTGCGCCTCCAAAGGCCTAGGATGTCCGAGACGATATCGAAAGTACCTGGCTTTCAAGGAGTCACCACAGAAATCTCAAGCAGTCCCACGAGAATCTGCGCGGACTCAAGCTATGCGCAAACTGACAAGCCGAGTTGCATATTGATGGCGCTGCCGATGCCTGGTTTTTTGCCACATTCAATTGCAAAATGCTGAAGCAAGGCGGTGGTTATGGTTAGAGTACAGGTACCAGAAAACTCTAAATATTCCATAATATACCATAACATACCATACCATAGTGTAATAAAATGTACCTTGCAGAGGTCCCCCTTTGTCAAAGCGTTTCATCCCTTCCACTGCTAAGGCGCGTAAGGCGAAGAAGCCAAAGATCCGCACTGCTGTGTTCTCCAGCAGCAGCAGGGGGTTCTTGTAGAGCTCCTGGCGCGGTTTAGGGTTTAGGGTTTAGGGTTGCTCGAAGACTGTCCAGTTCTCTTATCTGCTATCCATCTGGAACTCCACCAGAACGTGATGGCTGTGGATAGAAACCGTCACTACAAGTCAAGAGTGTCCAGTAGACTTGCTACACGTAATTACTCTTGCATCCAACACCTGTTTATCGCCTAAAGAGTAAGATGGTCTCACCATCTGTGTAGCTGACGTTTCTGAAAGGACACCCAATTCCCTGCAATAAACAGCTAGCTTAATTTGTAGTTCCATTTCTTGTCCATTTGATTCTCCACTCTTGGTCCCCAAAACAATATGGGAACTGTTTGGAGAACCAACCATCCACGTATTGCTGCGGGCAGGGGCCTCCCGCGAGTGGATGGACCCGACATTTGGTTCTGTCGCCCAGGGCACGTCAATCCTGGGCAAAGGTGCAAAAGGCACCTGGACTTCTAATGCTGTCAGGCACCATGAAATACCATAATATATTATAATATGCTATAACATACTATAATAGGCTATAATATATTATAATATAATATACTATAACATACTATGATATGCTATAATATACCATAATATACCATATTCTACCATAATTAGTATACCATAACATACCTTCTTCCCTGAGCAGAGCCAGTTTTCTGGGTCAGCCCAGTCTCTGGGATGTCAGCCAGCTAGGTGTGCCCCAGCCGATGCCAACAATTGGAAGTCCCAACGCCTGCTCACAGCTTCACTTTACGGAGCGTAGAGTCCACACAAGTAGATAGAATATGTTGTATATGGGGATCTTGCTAGTATATTAGGCAATTCTATATTCTATCTACTCAAACGGGACTATAAGAATCGGGCCAAAGGAGTGACGCTGCGCGATTCACAGGTCTTCCACCTCGCCCAGGGCGTAGAAAGCAGGGTAGATGTAAGACACGCACAGCACATCTGGCTTCAGCTCCTTAGGGTTCGGGCAGCTCCCAACTCCAACACATCAAGCATGTTCTGCAGCTCATCACATCCCATAGCTGCAGAAAAGTCTCTGCCAGGTGTGGCTTCATTGCCAAGGCCATAGGGCCTTCAAGCATGACAGCATCCGACTTGCCGGCCCCGAGCGGCAGTCAACAAAAACAACACCATTCAACACTCCCACTGAGGCGCCTCCCATGAGGTTGCCCAGCATTGGCATTGCCATGGAAGTAAGTACTTGTGCAACGCCGTATCCCAGACTCTGCATGTATTCCCTGGGCTCGGGGCGTTTGCTTTCCACCCCCTGCATATGAGCCATAGTCTAAACTCCTTAAAGGGGATTGTATGGGGGCATTAGATGTGGGACTATCATAGGGTTTATCAAGGGGGATACTAGGAGTTTAGACCATGGCTCATATTCTCCTATAACCCCCCAATTCCATTTCGTTTTCCATGTTCTTTTCCATTTGCTTCTCCATTATAGGGCGTATTCCTCATATCAACTTTCAACTGAAGGCCAAACTGCGGACTTCTCTTCTTCCTTGAGGTTGGGTCTGCTACGCAATCAGGGCATAACCTACTATAATCTACTATAATGTACTATAACCTTCTGTAATATACTATAACCTACTATAATATACTATAACCTACTAACATATACTATAACCTAATACAATAATATACCAGTACCGGCTGTCATCCTAAACCCTAAACCCTAAACCCCCCAAACCCCTAAACCCTAAACCCTAAACCCCAAAACCCTAAACCCTTAACCCAAAGAACCAGCTGTCAGCCAAGCAAGAATCTGAACCGGCGCCATCTTCTCTCGGTCGATTCCAGATGAGCCGATGTCCACCAGCTTCGCTTGTGGAACCAACTTCCTGAGCTCTTACGCGGTTTAGGGTTTTGGGTTTGGGGTTTAGGGTTTAGGGTTTTGGGTTTGGAGTTTAGGGTTTTGGGTTTAGGGTTTTGGGTTTGGGGTTTTTGGTTTTGGGTTAAGGGTGTAGGGGGAGAACATGCAGACAGTTTGGAGTCTTCTGGCACTGGATCGGCAGCTGCTTTGGTCTGCGAGGTCCTATCGAGGGCTTTATGAGAGGGAGGAGTCTGTGGACACGTTTCGTGTCGGGCAGTGTAAGTCTTACCAAAGCCTTTTCTGCAGAATACTGCAATTTGGATTCAATGCCCCTAAAGCTTGGGGTAAACAAGACAGGAACCTTGTTCCATTGGATTTCTACCAGGCTCTTAAACCCTAAGCCCTGAAACCCTAAACCCTGAACCATGGGTTTTCTACCAGGCTCTTGATCTTCTTGACTGTCTCGTCATGGGCCAGGAAGGTGACGGAGTGACCCTCATCCAGCAAGCCATGAGCGATCGGCAGCATAGGCCTAAGAGACAGCAAACCCTAAACCCCTGAACTGGATTGCTGCTAAGGAATCTAATTGAAGTTACTATGTTGGGGAAACCATATCAATTACTAT